CCCAGCTCAAGGAGCTCTGGTTCAGGCGCCCACTATGCCCTGTGTGCCCTTGGAGTGGGCGTCATTGCCCTTGGCATTGTCATGATTGTTTGGACTGTGATACCTGGAGGGGATTCGGGTGCCTCTCCAAAACCATCAGGCAACTCCACAGGACCTAATAACAACGGTGGTGGTAATAATTCAGGAGCCACAAAGACCCCAACAGTGGCCATGGTGCTTGTTGGAGTTGGGGCACTGATGCTGATCTTGGCCATTGGCCTTGGTTTAAAGAGCAAGAAGAGAGCTCAGGATAGAAGGAGTGAGCCTGTGACCACAGGAGTCCCCTTTATGACTCCGATACCAGAGGAGCCTCAGCCGTAAGTGATAACGTTTGGTTCTATTTTTATTCCTAGATCATTTATAAATGTTAGGATTTATAAATGATATGATAATTCCTTGAGTTAGCAATCAGGTGTGAAAAGGTGTTGTACCGGTGTTGTCTGTCTCTAATCTGTTTGTTCTGCAATAGCCTAGGGTGTACCCCGTCTTTCTGTTTGGAAAGGATCCACTGCAAGTGAACTGCAAATTATGTAACGTCAGGGACTAAGTAAACATTTAGCATTTTATTTACCTCTATAATCCATCCCCAAAATTTTTTTAAAAAAAATCAGTTTTTATTTTATTCAACAAGAGAAATGTGGAAAAAATATATCTTTTTTTTTTTTTTTTTTAAATAGGAGAGATTGTAAATTAAAGTTGTCTGTTATGTGTATCCAGAACATCTGTTCATCCCTTGAGTTTTTTACCTTTTTTTACGCTGAAATGATTCATAGGTCACTATTTAAGTAGCTTAACACACAAAAACCCTCTAAAGTTTGGCTCCTTTGAAACTAATGAATGAAACCTGAATTATTTCTAATGGCCAGCAGGTGGCAACTCATGTGATTTAAACAAAAACAGAGAAAAACATGCTTTTACTACTTTGTTGAACTCATTAAAGACTATTGAGTTTATTTTGTGGGCCTTTGCTGTTTCTTATAAATTTCTTGGAGCCACAACAAGAAGCTTCTTTCAGACAAAAAGTAACATTGACAATCTACTTTGGCTTAAACAGCAGACATCGGCACCGCTTACCTAGTCAATATACTAAGATATTAAGCAGATAAAACACAAAGCTAATAAACTTAAGAGTTTATGGGGACCAAAACAAAGCTGAAAAAGATGGACACAAACACGAATGAATGCCTGTATGGTGCCTTTTGAAGGTGTCAATCGGCAAAAGGTTGTTGACAGCTTTGGTTTGTCATCGCTGTGTTTTTGGGGCTCCTTTTAACTGTCAAAGTTGCCAAAAGAAGGCTTATAAAGTGTGTCATTTACAATGATTTGTCAGTGAGGGTCAAAACTTTTGTCTCTTTCCAGCGACCCAACTACGTACAACGTGCCAACCTATGAGGAAGTTGTCAGCAGCAGTGAGTACCCCGTGCGTCAGAGTAACCTTCGGCAGAGCACCTCTCACCTGCCGTCCTACGAGGACATCATAGCTGCGGTGGAAAACGAGGGAACAGAGCCCGCTAACAACACGACTGACGAAACCCCTGTTAATGATCAACCTGCAGCCGCTGAGCCTCCATCTGAACCCGCTGGCCTTACATCTAACCCCAGTATGCCAACCCGCAGTGCTAGTCGGGCCAGCCGCTTGCTCCGGCCCCTCCGAGTGAGAAGAATCAAATCTGACAAACTGCACCTGAAGGACTTCCGCCTTCAAATCCGCACCCCCACACAGAACCCAGTAACCATTGAACCCATCACTCCTCCTCCACAGTATGAAGATAAGATGCCTGAATTGAAGTAGGGCAAGCGTTCTACATCTATCTTAATATGCGTTTCTAAAAAAAGGAAAAAATTAATGTAACACTTATGAATTTAGTGGATTTATCGTAACATTTCTGGAGAAAACGATGTGAAAGGTTTGTGTTAAGCAGGTAAATGCAGTAAGAACAAAGGGGCCACACAAGCCCACTGCTGAAATTAGAATCTTGTTCTTTACCAAAAAGCTCTGAATTTGCATATTTATGCTATTATAATTCATTATTAGGTATGTGTGAAAGGATCCGCTTTCAGATTTAAGTCTGTTGTTTCTAACAATCATGTTATAATTTATGTCAAACAGAGGATAGTCTTTCAATTTTATTTATTAGCCAGCTGTAACATGTTTTTCACCTTTCCAAGACTTAATGTTATTGCTGTGTCTTGATTCTGGTTTGCTTTGAAGTTTGGAGAAGTTGAAATTACATCCTACAATTTAACGCGAGAATCATTATTATTTTTAAATCATGCTACGTTTAAGTATTCTAAACTTAGTATTTGAATAG